AGTAGAGAAAGTTTTATAGGTAAAAAACGCTTCTAGTTAGAGCTAGTAGAAGGTCTTAGTAAAGTAGGCTAGCTATATTACGCTAATATAGGTTAACCTACTTAAACTCTTTAAGACTAAGGTGCTAGATTATTTTAAAGCTAAATATAAAGACGCGCGTTTTTATAATAGACTAGTGTATTATAATAAAAAAAGAAAAGGTACATAATTAATTTAGCCTTAGGCCTATAATAAAGAAGTTAATTTAATAGCCTTTAGTCTACGCTATCTAGTGCGCACTATAAATCTTAAGAATAGTAACTCTATAGGCACTATATAGACCTAGACTAAAGGTATATAGAGTCTACTTAGTTATTCTCTATTTTATAATAGATCTACTTATTAGAAAGACTACTACTTATATTAAACTACTTATTAGGCTCTAGAATCTTCTTCTTAATTTTAGAAAACTTCTACTCTAGCTACTATTATAGGTTCTTCTTAGGCAGAATTAGATCTTTCTTAAGTAGAGAAGGCTTTTTCTTAGGTAGAAGCTACTTCTAGACGTAGCTAAAGCTCTAGAAAGGTAGCTCTAGAATAAGTTAGTCTTTAACATAGTAGTGCGTAGAATAGTTATTATATAGTAGTAGAGGGGTTTCTTACTTAATAGAGTCTTAGCGTAGAGTGTTACTACTAGAAGTTAATAATAGCAGAATCTAGAAAAGGTAGGCTTCTAATTTAGCCTTAGACTTAGAGTTAGACGTAGGCTAGCTAGATAATATTAAGATATAGCGCTAGAGTTAGTTAGAGGTAGAGAGGTTAGTAGATAGAGCAGGGTCTAGAGCTAGTCTAGAGTTACTAGACTACTTAGTAAAATCTTCTATTAGCTTATTCTAGTTCTACTTAACGTTCTTACAGGCTTTAGTGCTATAGTAGACTATATCTATATAAGACGCTAGAGAATTCTGCGCAGAGATAGGTACTAAAGTACTACGCCTAGAAGTGCTGCGCTACTTATGTATAGCAAAGAAAGCTTACGCGCTTAAGTCTAGAAAAGAAATAGTACTAGGCTAGATATTAATATAATAGTAACTATAGTAGGTAGTATTCTTAGTAGTTTAAGAGTAGTTATAAGAGAGATTAGTATAGTAGTTAGCGCAGCGCGTAGAGACTCTATACTTCTTATTATTTAAGTTATATTTATTCTTAGGCTAGTTATTAATTTAGTAGGCTTAGTAGTAGAAACTAGAGCTGCTTAGAAGTAGATAGTCTACTTAGCAGTAGTACTTTAAGAGCGTGCTAGGTAGAAGTTAGTTTTAATAAAAGTTAATATATAGATAGTGTAGAGAAAGTTAGAGCCTATACTATAATTTTACTAAATATATTCTTTTACTACTAAAACTAACTACTAATAACGTTTAGAGCGCTGCTAACAAAATACGTAAGATTATTTAAATTATTTAAGCTACAACTAGATACTATAGAAATAACTATATTCTTCTAAGAGAGATTAAATAGAGATATTTAGTTATTAGATAGGCGCAAAGCCTTATACTAGCGTTAAGTAGAGAGTTTATAAGGTATAGCTAGACTAGAGCCTTACTTAGCTATAGCGAGAGTTAATTTAAAGTAGCAGTAGAGAACGTAAAAGCATAGCGCAAACTTTAGTATAGTTCTAGTTATAGGCTATATAGTGCTATACATCTCTAGATTTATAATATAGGCGTTTCTGCGTCTAGTACTCTACTTAATATAGTAGTTCTAATTATAGAACGCGCGGCGTAGCTTAGAGTTAATAGAGAACTTAAGTATATATAAAGCGCACTTTGCCTTATAATAGCTGTAAAAAGAATATAAAGAGTCTAGAAGAAGTTAGCTTATAGTTTAGACTCTTAAGAGAACCTAAATAGAATAAACTAGTACTAGGCTTATACTTATACTTTCTAAACTAGAAGAGCAGCGTAATATATAGAATATATAGATAATTTTTAGAGTTAGCCTTAGTAAAGTTAGAGTTATTAGAGTTACTCTTAACTTTATACTAGTTTATATAGCGCTGCTTACTCTATTATACATTAGTTAGAGTATAGTCTAGACCTAATTAGAGCTCTTACCTTAGAGTTATAGAAGAAGCTATATCTAGAGAGACTAGTTAGCTTTCTTAGATCTTAGCTACTAGAGGCGCTAGTAGTAGTAATACTAGTGCTACTATTTTGCGCGTTAAGAAAACTAGCTAAAGTAAATAGCACTAGAGCTATAAGCTAGGCAAGAATAATATAGAACCTTATAATAAGAGGTATAGACGTAGTTTAGAACTAATAAGTTTTTAAAAGAGGTAAGTATAGAAGTTACAAAGTAAAGAATTTAGAGTAGGTTAGAATAAAGGTAAGTTATATTAGAGTATAAGTAAGGCTTTAGATAAAAGCTATATTATAATTACAAAAAATTATAATGCAACTTTAGTCTAGATATAGTTTAAAGTTGTTGTAATCTTATACGTAGGTATAGTAAAGGTTATATAGGTAAAATTTTTATATAGTCTAAAAACTCTATACGCGTAGACTTACTTCTACGCGTTACTTATTAGGCCTATAACTTTAGTGTAGAGGTATTTTTTATAATACTATACTACTTTTCTAACTAATATAATAGAGGTAAGTTTAAGAGTATATAATAGTCTTAGGCTTTACCTAAGTCTAGGCTAGAATAGAGAAGGTATAGGTAAGGTCTAGACTTACTACATAAACCTCTAGATTCTGTATATAGCCTCTTAAGTTCTAAGCCTTATAATATTCTATTAACACTTAGTATATTCTAACTCTAAGGCTAGTCTATAATAGTGTTAATAATAATAATATCTAGGTTACTTTAAATTATATTAAAAGTAAAAGAATAAATAAAGAATAGTAAATAAAGATACTAGCTAGAATTATATTTAAGTATAAAGAAGTACTTCTTACCTATTTTCTCTTCTTTAAAAGTATTTAGAATATTAAGAAGTACCTCTATATTAGACTTTCTATAACGCTTCTCTCTCTAAAGCTTTATAACTTTATTCTTAATATTAATATAAGTTAGATTATAGCTAGTAGTAAGTAGGTCTTTATAAATCTTTATTATAGTATTAGCCTACCTCTACTACTATAAAATTTAAGTAATAATATTAATACTACGCTTTCTATAATAAAGAAAAGCCTCTATAGCGCTACTATAAGAATAGTTATAATAGAGAACTTCTACTATAAAGTACTAGGCTTTATCTTTAAGCTTTAGCTTATTTCTCTATTTATAGTTTATTTAGAAGAAGCTTTAGTTCTTTTAAAGTTTTTTTAATACTAGCTTATACTTTTTATAGTAATTATAGATAATTATTACTAATATTATTTTTCTAAATAGTAGCTACTTTAAAAGTTTACTTTTATTAGCTTAAAGTATAATTATAGCAAACTTATAAGCTACTATAGCGTTATTTAGAGTATTCTTTACTTTATTAATATATTTAAAGTAGTAGATCTTTAGTAAAGAAACCTATTTAGAAAGTATCTATTAAGTATTATTATACTCTAGGTTATACTTAGTTAGTAACTATAAGATTAGACTATTAAAGGTAATTTAGTTATTATTAGAAAGATTATTAGAGTTAAAGTATTTAAAGCTAAAAAAATTATAATTATATCTAGGTATTATTAGAAAGCTCTAGAACGCGTTAATACTACTAGAGATAAATTAATTAATAATAATTTACCTACTTAACTATTTTTTATAATTTTTAGTATTATAAGCTTATAAGAATAACGCGTAAAATTATATAATATAACTTTAATAAAATTATATAGATAATAATAGTTATAGTAGATAGAAAATAAAAAATTATTAAAGTATTAATATTCTAATTTTACTATAAAGGTAAGCACAGACCTAAATTAGTATTAGAGATTAAGCTCTAATACTTCTATAGCTAAATTAGCTAAATATCTATATTTTAGCTAGAATATACTTTAGGCTACTTTATAAGCCTATATAGTAAAAGAGCTCTTTAAAAGAAGAGGTCTTTTTTAAAATATTATATTATTAAGATAATAGCTTTAATTTTTAAATATAGTTAATATAAGGTTTTAGTAGACTCTATTCTATTAGGACCTACCCTAATAGTTACCTATACAGGCTTAGCGCCTGCCTATATAAGACTAGCGTATAAGATTAACCTAAATTAACTAGGACAAATATCTTTTTAACTAGGATGAATATCCTCCGTCGTAGATAGCCTATGGCCTTTCCAGACTATTGAATGACATCAACGTGCCTTGGTCGCCGCGACTGTCATCTGTCGTGGCACGAGGTTCGCATGACGTTTCAGAGCCTGCGCTTATGCTGTGTACCCCCGGGTGCCCGTTACCAAATCCTCACCGGTGCATAGGGTCGTGCCGTACAGGTACATGCAGATGACATAAGTGGCCTTGACGACGATCCTCCTGGGTGCATGAATACCTTGACGTCTGTTGTTGGTACGATGCTGTTGAATTTTGGGTACTTTACCTGATCGTATGAAGTAGTCATTTATTCCATGGTTGCGTCACCACATGCAGCGACCGTCTGATTTTAAAATTTCTTTGTTGACTATTGCACACAAAATCGCTATTGTATCAAACAAGTCGTAAGTAGAACATATGGAGTCGCCAAAGCAAGCATATAGACAACCCCTACACTCCATTCCCAATCCGCCCAAAACCTCTACCCAGCCTGTGCCGCTCATATCGCTGACCAGTTCCACCCAACTCTAACCGGGAACACCATAGCAATTTCAACTTGTGCTCACGCATCGCTGCGCAACGATAAGAATAGCGTGCGAGAAGACACTTTTACTCTTGTTGAAAGGAGAGGACGGGCAGTCGCTGAAGATACCACCCAATAATGCAATGCGAAGGGCTCGCTATTCAAAACGCCAGAGAAGAGTGTGAGTGAAGTGTGGTGAAGACTACCTTGTAGCGAGACGCATGATGCGAGTTGACGATGTATAACCGCTACCTCTTGCGCTTCTTGCTCTTGTCCAGTGCTGTGCTCATGGAGTACGCGTCTTGCATCGGCATGTGGTAGTCGTGCATTGGGGGAGGCGCCATGGAGGTAGCCGATGAGACTGAGTTCTTCTTGACCGAGACCCCCATGTGGCGTCCATAGCGACCTTTCCTGCCGTTGCCTTCGTCTTCGCTGACACATCCGTCTGCACCGATGCCGGCGTCTTTGCAGCGCTGGCATGGTCGTTGACGGTCACAGCCCTTCTTGCTCTTGCGGCAGCGCTGGCAGCGTGGCTTACTCGAGAGATCCTCCTCATCGACGCCGAGCTGATGCTGGAAGTTCAGCGATGCGTTGGAAGCCTTGCGCGACTGAGAGGGGAGGGAAGACGGTGACATTGGGGCCTTGGTGGTGCCGTTGACCTTGGACTTGCTCTTTGAGGTGGCACGGGGCTTGCCAGACTTGCCAGACTTGCTCGACACGGAGCGAGCCTTGATGATACCGGCGTGCACGCGGTGGTTATGTTCATCGGCAATCATCTCATCACTGGCACCCTTGAAGGAGCCATCTCGGTCGTCTTCATAATCCTCACCACTGCTCTCGGCTTCGTCGTAGACACGTGTATGGTCGTTCATTGCACGAGCCATGTTGTACGGGAGAGGAGGAAGCTCACTCTCGTCATCGCTACCATCAGCGCTCTCGTCACTTGAGGATGCCGCAGCTTTTCCGCTGAAGGCATCATCGAGCGTAGAGGTAGACGTGCGACCGTGGCCGGAGAAGTTGGACGCATCACCCAAGCGCATGAGCTGACGAGCGACGTCCTCATCAGAGATGACGCTGATACTCGCAAGAGTGGTGTCAGGGGTAGGAAGGACTCCACCGCTGCCGGAGTAGCGGTAGTGGGAGTGCTGAGCTGAGCCACGCGCGCGAGACTTGTATCCCTGAGCCTGGCTACTAGCCGCAGAGTATGGTGTGACTAGTCCCTGAAGATATGAACTGTCGCCCTGACCGTAGCTCTGTGGGGAGGGCAGCGGATGCGAGTATGAGAATGTCTGCTGGTTGGCAGAGTATGGCGAGCCAGCAGTGTTTCCGCTGATGCGTCGCTGGGGGGATACGGACGACTGTGAAGCATTCATGGGAACTTGAGGCGGTACGAACAGAGGTAGCTCCTAATGAAAGGAACGAGTGTCAGACTAATGCACGATACATGCCCACTGTAGGTACTTACCGAGCTGTCGAATTTGGCACGCTTTCGGCGGCCACCCTCGACAATGTTGTCAACGCTAATCTCAGCGCTCGCCAATGGCTCTTTCCTTGAGCGTCGCGAGCTGCTGACAGAGCCATGCTCGTCGTCGCTGTCGCTGTAGCCGTCGCCATTGGCGTCAGCGAAGCTTCCGTGCGAGCTGTTGCCGCGACTCTTTATAGACGGGCGCATGCGCTTGTTGATGGACGCGCTCCTCCGACCACGATGTGGGGAGTGGCTCTGGCGCGCATGACGGGACCCCGCTCTCGAGCCTTGGTGATGCTGGATCGGCGGTAGCATCTGGAAGGCCTCGTCGAGGTGGGGTCGAGCGCGACGGGGCGAGATGGTCTGCTGGCGCGGATCAGGAGAGAAGTCGTCTGCATCAAGAGTCTCTGGTGAGACTCGGACGTAGACGGTCATGCCATGTTCAAAGTTCTCGAAGCGCGCAATCAGCGTGTTGCCGTGGCGGTCCTCGAAGATGACGCCTCGACGCTCGTACAGACCGTAGAAGTTCTTGACTGTTGTGATGATGGAGTCTGTGGTGTCGTGCGGGTATATGTCGACCCGCATGGGTAGCCGGGCCTTGTGTGCTGGCGACTGGGGGAGCAGCAGCTCGAAGCTGACGTGCTTCTTGGGCGTCTGCTTGGAGGGCGACAGGGAGTCGTGCGCCGAGCCGGTTTCGGTGCTCGGGTAGACGTCCATGATGCCAGAGTCTTCTCTCTGGGGCAGCATGTCGTAGCCAGACTCCATCTGCATGGCGTCGTGGTGTCGGCCCGCTAGGAGCTCTTCCACCTCAGGGCAGCGTTGTGCGCCCGCAGGCCGAGGTTCCGCAAGCATGTTGGAAACTTGCATGCCAATGTCTCTGGTGTTGAGAGTGTATTCCAAAGCCTCTAAAACGAGCTTGTGTATGTATGTGTGGTTGGGCGGCGCACCGATCCTGCCGGTGTCGCAAGGGCTTGGACGGACGGCGGTCGGGGAAGGATAAACGGGCGTCGAGTCTGGAAGGCAACATGTTAGCAGATGGTCGCTGATGGGGTTTGATGGCCTTCCGAGTGCTCCTCGCGTTGTTCTGCGCAGCCTGTGCTGGGCTGGAGGCGGTTGGGGGCTCGTCACCGCTGGCCAGTTGCGGACTACAGGGAGAAGGTGACGACAGCGCGGAACACCCAGGGGGCGGCGTCGCAGTCACCTGTCGGGCCCAAGCCGGTCGCAAAGGCCTATGGAGAGATGTACTTACCAACAGATATGTCTAGAGCGCTGGATGGGCACTGGATGCTTCGATCCGATTGCGTGAGTGTACCGCCGCTGGCTGCGCACGTCAGGTTAGCGACCGGAATGCGCAGGGCAGGATTGACTCTATCTGAGCGCCAGAGTGCGATCTCAGACGGGCCACAGGCTTGATGGAAAGGGTTGAGGCTTACAGAGAGGAGGTGGTGTGGGACGGAGGAGAATGGTGTGGAGGGTGGGTTGCAGATGGGAGATGTTCGCAAGCGAACAATAGAGACACCGACTAATGACCACTCCAGGTCACGACGTACTTTCCGAATGCGCCTCAAACCAAATAGCGGTCGCCTCTACACACACTTCCAGAATCTGCCATGTAAATTTATATCATCAAAACGGTTTAAGCAGTACAGCGCATCCTCCCCGCTGCACATATGCGATTGCGCCTCCATTGGTAACTAGTATATACACTACTACACAAAACAGCCCACCTCAGTCCCTCAGTCACGCAAAAGGACGAAGAGTGCATAGCAGCTGAGGAGGTCCCCAGCTTTCGTCCCATCTGGTGTGCCTGTCTTTGAGGTCGAAACATGGGACAACTCGGCGGCAGCTATGCGCCCAATAGTAGAGGGGGACTAGAATGCATGCCACAGGACAACTCAATCGCTTGTTGACTATACCTGCGCAAGAGAGCCGATCTCAACAAGGCCAAACATGACCAATGGGCGGATACGCGGCGTGCTGGTCGCGATGCGTACGTTCCATGCGAATATGGACAGGACGAGCTTTAGCACCCTGATACCCCGATGCGCCATCTCGAGCACATAGAGTACTCGAATACTACACTCCGGGTCGCCTTCACACAGAATTCTAGTCAAAAGGCTAAGGAAGCTTCCGGTCCCGAAAGTGGGTGAAGCGCTGTGGATTCGTTGGCAACTGGTGCCGGGCGTCTATTGGAGAGATCTCCGTGTGACACTCAATGCCACACGCCTGCTTCCGTAGTTCCCCTTTGCAGACAACCGTCCCTGAATGAGTCGCCACAGGATTCCCTAGAGGCTCGTGCTACTTATGAATTACGCGACCAAGGAATTATGTCTACATGTGCTCCCGCAATCGTCTGATGATCTCGGACCCACACTTTCATGACGATGGTAGCGCAAGCGCAGGAATCAAGCCGCTGATAGTCTACACACCCGCTGTGGTGTGGAAGCCATGCTTTGACCGGATAATCGCCGTTTGTTATCTTGCTGCTCAGATTCCGACCCTGCATGTGCGCGAGCGGATCATGGCGAGGGTACATATGTAGCGCGGCATGCGACTTCGCAAATCCGTGGCGTGAAGCTCGGACAACCACTCTAAGTGATGAGGGGTCGATCAAGAAGTCTGAACAGCATGTCTCCCGCACTTTGCGCAAACACGTTTCAGAAGGGATCCCGGTCGCGGACCATTTCGAAAGACGTTGTGCGCATTTTTGGCTCCATGCGATCTCGCTACGGATGCGATCGGTCCACACAGTCAGTCGGCGGTGAGCTTCTCGGCCTATACAGCCCGCGGGGACAAAGCAAAGGAAAGACGCGATAACGGCGCCAGTTTCAGGCCTTTCAACGTTCCCCAGACGCATTACCTTCCTCCAGGCTGCCTGGGACAACGCCGGCGCAACAAAGGCAAGCGCAGGCTGCCGTTTGATATCTGGTGGCAGTGCGCTGATCGACTGGGTGTGGGCGCCCGACGGCGGGTCGTGTTTACGAGTTCCAGACCACCCTTCTGATCGCGACCACAATTGAGGCCATCCAAAGCACCTGGAGTATGACGAGATGGGTTGTTATGGCAATAGAGCGCATAAACAGGATGTTTACAACCGGGTCGCAGAATGATGACCGTCACGTGATTCCGCGATTCTAGCTGACTTAATCCACCACCAGCGCGTCTTTTGGCGGGGTACGTGTATATCTACAGTCAGATGTCTGAAAACCTTGAAAGTGTCAGAATACATTCTCGGTAGCACTTGGATACTGTGCAAAAGTTTATAGAGCGGGAGATTCGCAATGTGCGGAAGCGCAATCTCAGGACGTCTTTTGTAATGATGTTGGAGTTCGCGTTTGCCTCGGCGAGATGACGTGCCTGTCAGCTCCGGAAGCATATCGGGAAGGTGCGGCCCGTGCATCATCACTAGGGCCGCTCGGGGATAGTGTCCAGTAAATAAACAACATTGCCCATCCAAACGCGCATAGCTCCAAGCTCCCATATAAGTTTACAAGCTCTTGTTGTCGTCAACACCACTCCTCGTGCCATTCGACAACGTCGACCCGTCTATCTCATCGTCGCCAACTTAGATGGAGAGTTTCTTTATATCGGCCACTGTTTTGTAGCGCTCCACCTCCGCTGCCCCTATCGTCCACTTCGCAACCGTCGCTGTCAACACAACATACATTCCAAGACTATTGTCTTTAATCGACAGACCAGAACATAATGGACGCAAAGGTAAGACTGCTCTCTCTTTGTTTACTCTCACTTTGGCGGCATGGCGGTGCGTGGACGCGTTCCGAGGCTGGCGGCTTCATCTCCAGTCTTTTCATGGTCACCCAGATTATCTTCCTTTCACAGCCGCTGACAGACTTTTCTACAGCCTCAACGTCCTGCGCGGGCTCTCCGAGTACGCGACGAGAACGCGCCGCCCCAATTACCTGCCGGCAAGACTCTGCATTCGCGCAACAAGTCAACGCCAGCGCTGTCCACACTGATGCAGGTCGGCGGCATCAAGGCGGCCGCAGCCAAGCGGACCGTGTTTGGAGACGTCAGCAACACGCGGCAACCCATAACAAAGGACGACATGCAGGTCAATGGGAAGAAGAAGGGTCTTGAGGTGCTCAAGGACAACTCTGCCGTCACGGTCAAGGAGATCACCACAAAGGCTGGCGCGTTAGCACGACCGGCGCAACGCCCTCTGGCAAACGTCACAGCCAAGGCGAACGCGTCAATAGAGGCAAGCGACGTCGCGTCTGCTGTCACCAAATCCACCGTCAACGCCAGCCAGCCGGCCGCCGAAGTCCGCAAGGTCATCACCAAGAAGTCCTCCACAGCCGTCTTCAAGGAGCCACAATCAGAACCCCTTAACGACACAACAACTCTCGTAGATGTACCTGCTCGCCAACCTCTCCCTACCCAGCCATCTTCATTTCCCAACGTGGACCGTGCCTCAGCACAGTCCCAGCAACCAACGACCATCCCTGAAGAGGAAGAGAAAGCCGAGTCAAAAAATGGGGCGGACGACAGGTACGAATACCTAGATGCTCTCGAGGAGCAGGCGCGCGTCCTAGAGCAGGAGCGCAATGAGGAACTTGCCAAGGTCAACGGCCTGAACGGTCTCGACCAAGAAGAGTACTGGGACGAGGAGGAAGACGAAGAGTACTACGATGCCGACGGCTACACTACTGCCCGGTCTCTGCGATCGCGCGGCGACAACACAACTGGCGGTGTCACCCTTGTCCTTGCGCCTAGGATCACTGCAAAGACACAACGCGAACTTGAGGCTGCTCGGATCTTCGTCGAAGCGAATCGGAGTGCCGAAGACGTGGAGGATGAGCAGTGGGATACATCCATGGTCGCTGAATACGGCGACGAGATTTTCGAGTACATGCACGCCCTTGAAGAGCGCATGAAGCCCAACGCTTCTTACATGGACCACCAGGCCGAGATCCAATGGTCGATGCGATCCGTCTTGATGGACTGGCTCGTTCAGGTTCACAACCGCTTTACCCTTCTGCCCGAGACTCTTTTCCTCGCCGTCAACTACGTCGATCGTTTCCTCTCGTGCAAGGTCGTTTCACTTGGCAAGCTTCAGCTGGTCGGCGCCACCGCGCTGTTCGTCGCTGCAAAGTACGAGGAGATCAACTGCCCGTCAGTACAAGAGATCGTATACATGGTCGACGGTGCCTACACTGCCGATGAGGTCCTGAAGGCTGAGCGCTTCATGCTCAGCATGCTTCAGTTCGAGCTGGGTTGGCCTGGCCCAATGAGCTTCCTTCGCCGTATCAGCAAAGCAGATGACTACGACCTGGAGACTCGTACCCTATCCAAGTACTTCTTGGAGATCACCGTCATGGATGAGCGCTTCGTGGGTTGCGCTCCTAGCTTCCTGTCGGCCGGTGCTCACTGCCTTGCCCGCTTCATGCTGAAGAAGGGTGACTGGGTAAGCTTGCATCCATACACTATATCAGACCATGCTAACATCCCCTAGTCGCAAGCACACGTACATTACTCCGGGTACACACTGACCCAACTGCGACACCTCATCTCCGTCATCCTCGAGTGCTGCGACAACCCACAAAAGCATCACGCGGCTGTGTACGAGAAGTACACCGACAAGCGCTATAAGCGTGCTTCCATATTCGTCGAGGCAGAGGTCTCAAAGGGCTTCTCGCTGCCATTTGTGTCTAGGGACAGCCTTGCCAGCCAAACTTGGAGGCGAAAGTGAATACACTTGTCTCCACATGGCTCTGACTTGACTGTGTTCTAACGTGGCTCAGGGCTCGTGTGATCGCGCATCTCTCCGAGGGCATCCACCAGCACCCACCCGTCAAGAGCCAGGCAGTACAAGTCAACCGGTCTGCTACAACTCAGCATCAGCACCAACATGGTCACCATCGAAATCTTCTCCATTCTTGCTTATTGTTCACGGATACTCGGCGCTTTGGCGGCTTCTTGGAACAGGGTCAACACCAGCAATCTTCCCAGTCTACATTAGTCCAACCTTCGTTCGGACACCCGGTGCATGGAGTTTATGGTTATCCGGCCTGAGTCTTTTCGTTCCCTCCGTCACTGGTTTTTACTCTTTCGTCACCGTCACCCATACCCTGGCAGCTGGCAAACTTCCCTTCGACTGTATCTACTTGCTTTGGAAAGCGCTTCCGGCCGTATCACGACGAAATGAGGTCATGAACACCCACTCCCATTAGTTTAATTCTCCAACTCACGCGGATTCTCCTTCTGGTGGCCGTCTTTTTTCCCTTTTCTCCTTTAGTCACTCCTCTTGGGTCGGGTTTCAGCGATCGGCGATTCTTCGACGCACAGGAGTTACATGGACACCGCACTATGTGCGTATGGGGTTTCTCTATCTGCGTTATGCGTGGCACAATGAAGCTCTTAGATCGGGCTTTCCAGTAGAGTCAAGAAAAGCGCTTAATACTTGCATCTTCAACAATGTTGACCTTGAGTGATGAGTGCGAACACCTTGCAGTGAGCGAACTTGATTGTGGATGTGCGTGTTCTTCTGGCCTAGGTTTGAGACTTCGTATGGGTTTTCATTGTACTTGATGATGTTTGCTTGGTGGGCATCATCTCATGGTCGTTGAGAGGGAGGTTCAGATGACACGTCCAAGCCTGTGCTGAACGCCCGAAACCTCCATATACACGTTTGCTATCCTCCACCCCAAGTCTGCCCCAGCGAATGCGCCCCACCATCCAAGCATTCGGGTATCTCAATCGTGACTGCTTCCTTTTCGTGCCGTCGTTGCCCTTTTCATCTCAGCAAGCCAATTACGCCCTTGCTATGTCGAAATTCGATTCGTGCGAGAAACCGTGAAATGCTGATCATTGCGTTGCTTCCGCTGCCGGTGCAATCAAGACTACCGAGTCACCTGGCATACCGTCAGCTTCACGTCATCTAAAAAGTCATGTACGTCTCTCACCTCTGACGAAGAGCATCTCGCTCTGCTTCTTGACTGTCCGCACGCGAGGCTCCTGGTCCTCGTCTTCCTCCTCCGCAATGTATATGGTTTCTTCGACGTCTCCGAGGACGAGGTTGCAATGCGAGTCGTATGCCTAGACATGCTGTTAGCTATGCATGTACATATATACAAGCTGCTGCATCGCGACTCACGTGTAGTCTGCCCTTGAGTTCGCGGTCGCCGCGCAATTTGACAATGACGACTTCGTCAATGCAGAGGCGCACAAGGTCGAGGGGCTCGTTGGTCTCTTCTTTCTCGTCCATGGCGGGCAATATGTCTGTCGTGGATGCGATTCGTCGTGTGAGAGCTACAAGGCGCCTCCGCGGTGAACTTTGGCAGGAGCGATCGTCTTGGCGGAAGCGGGGACTAGCGTGCACGCGAATCTAGTGGTGGGCTGGTAGGCATTGCGTCAGGGCCCAGCCCCAATCCAACATTTCTAGGTACATTCACCCTCAACATCCCAGTTTCCACCGCCGCCCTACTCTCGATCACTTTCTGCTCGCTTCGACTTTACTTGCCATCCAGTATACGCAGCTCGGACACATAAGCAAGAGCACGAGTCATGTCCGAGATCCAGGTCCCTGCCCAGAAGGACGAGCATCCGCTTCTAGCCTCACGTCCGCCGGTTACCGATCCCATCACCTATCTTACTATTATTGAATACAACTTGTCCGAGGAGAACTTGCCGGTCCTACACGAGGTTCTTCAAGATGCAGAGCTTACTGCGACTATCGGCTGGGATTTGATACATCTGCTCCTTCCGATGCTCCCGCTATCGGAAGATTGTTTGCAAGACATCGCCGCCAAGGGTAACCCACGAGAGTGTGTTTTGAAAGTGACAGAAGCGCTGCGGCTACTGGAATTTGAAGAACCACACGATCACACCGACGACGAAGAAGATGATGCAGACAACAGCGGAAGCAAGAAAGCGGCAGAAGTCGGAATGGGCGAATCGAGCACAAGTCCTGCCTTCCAACCAGCCGTAGTCCCGCCACTTCCGGTACTAAAGTTCGAGGTCCTCTTGACTATACTTGCAACGCTACATCGACGGGTCAAGACGAAATATCCAAGCCGGTTCCTCTCTACCAGTCTGCAGGCTGCACTGCTCGCATACAACAGGGCCAACACGCACATTGAAGACCTCACCCTATCCGCTGTCAAGTTTGTCAAGACGCTTTCCGGCACTAAGAGGCCGCATTTGCCATCGAGACGAAGCAGCGGAAATCTGCTACGTGTAAACACCAATCAGTCGGAGCCAGATCCGGAGGCACAGAGCGACGCGCCGAGCAGTGAGGAGAATGATCTTGTCAATCGCCTACTCCAGTCATTCCTCACGCATATCCTCGAGGATTACGTCTTGTCACTGACATCAGACGACGACGTTCCAGGCCTGGCGTGGGCAAGCAGACTGATGGAGCGGTACGAGCCCCAGCGGATACCGAACAAGCCCAACTACAAGAAATATGCGGACAGGTTCGCAGAAGAAGAGGATCTGACCTCTAGGGTTGCGATTCTTGGACAGGTTGTAGCCTTGACTCAGGATCTTGGGTTGAAGTATAAGGAGCTTCTTCGGACTGTGATGGATACGGAGGATGAGAAGCGAGGTATTCCAGGAACAGAAGATGAGCCACCAGCCACGGCTGCCGATATACCGCTCTCACGAACAGGCGCTCTTCTACTTATCGCTGCGCAAAACGTCAAACAGGAACTGTATGCTTCAGCCAAGCAAGACGAGTCATCGTCAATTGCCATTTTCCCAGGACACGCCACGATACTCAGCAACTTCATTGGAACTCTCGGGCAACAGACCGTCGGTATGGAGCCTGAAGCACTGCTCGACACAGTTCTCACATTTGGTCTCATCGCACTCGAAAAGAACAACATCGGCGAGCCCAAAGACGACGAGTCATTCGCCCAATACCTGCAAACAATCTCGCTCATCTCCGCAAACTCGCCGTCCCCGAGCCTACGCGGGCATGCGCATTATCTCACCACAACGGTCCTGCGCTCACATCCCCACGATCTCGTCCGCCTAACCTTCATCCGCGACACGCTAGAACACTGCCCATACGAGAACCTCAAAGCAAGCGCAGTATCGTGGCTCAAAGGCGAGACCCTCGAGGCCAACGCGCCGCGTCCTCAATCCGCAGACGACGAGCACGAAGAAACCAACATATTCGCCACGCCAGTCGCTCTATCTACCGTTGCGCCCTTCCTATGGCCTGATCTCACCAAGCAATATGCCACCGATGCTGTCCTAGAAGAGTCATGGATGCAGTTCCGCCAAGAACTTGGTTTCTACGTTGCGGCACTCAATTTCTACTATCTGCTACTCCAGGCGAAGCATCTACATGAGACGCTCGGTATCAAGGAGTTGAACAGTAATCACAGCATTCAGTCGCAGTATCTAGATGTGCTGAAGCAGACTGCTGCGCGGTTCCAGAAGGAGCTGTCGTCGGGCGGTGGCGCACTTGTTGTTGAGGGTGAAGAAGCGCTGGAGCAGGCCAAGGCTGATGTTGGGTTACTGGAGAAAGTCATCGAATGGGTTGAAGGCGGTTTGAAGAAATTGTAGATAGGGTGACTATACGTGTCATGAGTGACGTGCTTCAGACGGTATTTGCATGGAATACAATTACATTTGCGAAGAAGACTTCAATATATCCACAGCGAAATTGTATTGCTCAGAACATACCCCCATTCATACCCCCAAAGCCCGCTCCACCACCATACGATCCCCCCTGTGGAACCCACCCCCCGAAATTATCCGCCGTCATATCATTCCACAGATATAAATCGCCGTTTTGAAACGCCGCGGAGAAGTCGCCCATATCCGTAGTAAACGCGGTCTGATCGCTGATCGGCTGCGGGTCAATGGCCATGTCATTCGCGTTCCATGGTGTGGGCGTGGGATACGCGTTACCCAGTGCGAATGACGACGTGGGGAGAGACGGAGGAGCGGGTTGATGTTGCTGCTGCTGTGCTGCAACCTGACTTGGATCGATAGCAGACGCAGACGCTGCAGTGTTCGCGACCTGCAAGTTCTGCTCCGCGAACGCAGGAGTCTGATTCCCGCTTGCGGTCTTCATCTCATCTCCACCCCCTACCTTCTTCCTCCTCTTGAGATGCCTCCCCTCCTTCCTCCAAATCACATATTCATCCCACCAACTCTTCAACTTCTCATGCAGCAGAAAGTTCCAATGGCTCGGTACCCTGACTCTACACTCCTGCGGCCCACCCGCCTCATTCGTCTTATCCAGCACAGTGTCGAGGTAATAACTCACTTTAAGGCTCTGGCTTTCGAGCAGCTCGCCCATTTCCGCGTCGGTGCCGACGGCGTATTCTGCTTTCATGAGGGTAACGAGGGAGTAGACAGCGCGGACGTAGAGGGCGTTTGGCGATTTGCGCAGTTTGTCGACGGGGACGGCGATGAAGAAGTCGAGGATGGTGTGGGCGGCCGAGATGCATTTTGTGGTTGCGTTGATTTGGAGGGCGGAGCGCGAGAGGAGGGATTCGGGTTGCACGCAGTCGTCGTCTAGGGCGGGGAGGGTGATGTGGCGGTTGCGGAATTCGATGACTGGGTGGTGTTAGATGGGGTGGATGTGATGTGCGTGGTTTGACTTACCGTCGTAGCGACCTCCGTCCATACCAAACTCCCACATGGATAACATGTCGGAGTAGTACTCTATCTGTAAGTTCAGCGTCATGACGTCGTCTGGAATCCCTTTCCTCCAATCCTGCATCCGCCGAT